TTAATAATTAACAATTGTTTATCTTTTCATCTTTCCATCAGATGAAGCCCATGCTGCAAAAAATCACAACTATATCCCAGCTAGAAGAGTGTGGATTCGGTCAGCCTTGGCCCAGACATGGACTCAAGCTGTTGTACTGGTTTGCTAAAGACTGTATTTGGGTTAATGATGATGACGACATGTTTCTGGCATGTGACCCGGCAAAGGAAGACTTTGGCTTTCACCTCTTTGAGAACAGATACGCTAAATGTAAAGGGAAACTTCTTCCAGATTTGGAGTTTCCCTACTACTTGCTGGGCAATCTGAACTCACCAGGAGCTGATATGCTGCCAAACTACATCAAGGAACACAACACCAGCCAGCAAGACGACAGCAACGTGGACCGCATCATTGTCACCGCTCACGGAGAGTGGAGGTTTGGGAAAATTTACGTGACCACGCACAAAGATAAGTCAAGTTTTGATCCATACGCCACATTTCATATCTCCAGGAGCCTCCTGAAGAACATCAAATCATTCCAGAATCTAGAAGACTTTCTGCAGACCATTGGATATCAGAAGCCAGAATTCCGGATGGCTATGTTGAGTATTAGCGATGTTTACGCAGATACTGATACACCATCTCGAAACTGTGTCTGTAGCTGTACCATACTCTGAAATTATTTGGGAGGAAAAGTTGCAGGGAAAGTCTCAGAGAGGCTTTTCACACTGGGTAAAGGAACAGTTCGCACTATTAATTTAGAAGTGGGTTATGAAACCCCTTTCAGGATCACCACCGCTTTTGCACCACTAACACCGCATTTATGGCTAGACATTTAGCAACCGACAGCCAATCGTGTGCCTCATAAAACCCTTTCACACATACAGTATTTACTGGTAAATTACTATTAAGAGATCATGTGTAAATAGGACCTTTTCAAAAATACCGGTAAATTCGTTCTGGCAATTTACTGGTATGAGAAGTTGTAACATTACAATTAGCGGCAATGTGTTCTGTGTGAACGCAGAACGAGATTAGATGTCTACTCTGGGCCAATCATAACATTCTGATGCAGATGACGCATTTACTCCTATTGTGTTATTTTACTATATATTATGTTATTTACTCAATATGGTATTATCTTACTTAAAAATATGATGTATGGTCATGAAAGTGTGAAAGAAAAATTCATTTTATTGATTTTGCATGATTTTATTCATATGCTTATGGAACATTGTGTATTGCCTGCTTTACTTAGAACTGCTTTGAAGTCAGAATGAGATATGGTTTGGGGCCTAAAGAAAAAGATGTATGGGTGACAAGGGGTTCGTGCAGGCCTAAGTTGGGCTCGGGGGTGGGGGGATGACAACTGGGAGACCCAAAGACACCTGTCCATGACCTAGAAGGTCACCATGTCCCTGAGGGCCCGAGTCTTAGAAGTATGATATAGTGGAATGTGTTTTTGACTTTCTTACTATGTGTGGAAAAGTACAGTTGTTAAGAGATGTAACCTTGAAAGCTAGGGAAGAGATAAAGGTGGAGGAAACCCTCCCTTCTTTGTCGCACTCTGCAGCAACTTGTGTTTCTGTATGACTGTCTGACCTTTCTTGCAAGAAATAAAACCTTTGAAAAAAGACAATTGAGTGACTTTGTCTCTTATGCGGCGGTGAGAGTCATTTTTATTTTGCCACAACAAAAGTAATCAATATACTGATCAATATGCTGAATTATTCCAACACTGGATGTCTTAATACAGATTGTAAATCTGAGGGCTTAGCCATTGGGCAGTACTGGCGGTTTCCATTGGATTGTACCAGTGAACTTAACCCTATGAACTTTGGGTGATTTCCAGAATATGACAGGTACGTGTAAACAAGTTTGATGAATGTCTCATATGACCACCGCCATCCAATAGGAGGCGGTGGAATAAAAGTTTTTTTTTTTAAATGGCTGATTTGGCCAAATTCCACCATTAAAAAATGGACCAGGTGGGCTAGTAATAAACTGTGGCAAACCAGATAGGCACAACCAATAAAAAAAAACAGAATTACCAATTTTGGTTAGAAAGACCGGTATAAAATTGATGCGCAGACAGACAGAGACTCAGATGCGGCTGAGATCTCGGCTTTGTTGCTTTGCACAATAAAGTCTTATTTTGACATCTGGAACTCTGCTTCTTGAGCTTCATTGACTACATTGAATCCATCACTTGCTCCGCGAGTCGCAACACAACACTCCGTGCTGTTTACGGAAGTCAAAAATGTCTTAAATTATCTAATATGATGTCTCTGGGCCAAAAGCAGCTGCACTACAAACCAGTGTGTTCATAATTAAGATTATACATTAGAATAGTATGGTAAGGATAGTCCATATTAAGCGCAAAACAAGCTGTTTTGTAAAAATTGCTGGAAGTGAATGACACCGGAAGCCAGACACATTAAATTTACAAATGGCCGCGCCCGTTCTTAAAGGAAAAAATAAGGTGGATAGCCCTCCATGTTTACAAACACAGCGTTTATGTCACAGAATTCACCGGTATTTTGAAACTGATGTGCGAATGGTGCTTTACCGGTAAAAAAGAGGCAACGTCCTTGCCTGTGTGAAGTTGAACAGCGCATTTTTGTATTTACTGGTAAAGTCGTTCCGGTAATTTACGGCAATTTACAACGTTACTGTATGAAAGGGCTATAATCATGTGCTTTGGACAATCATGGAAACACCGCATATAAACAGTCATTTCATCGTTTGAGAGAAAAAATGTCAAATGGTGACCAAACACGTTTCATTCTTACATTTAGTCCAAAAAGTCCATTCTCTGGAGAACAGTCGGCAGTATAAAATAATGAGGACACCTGCTAGAGGGTGCCACTGCTCAGAGTGTGTGTTCACGGTGTGCGTGTGTTCACTTAGGATGGGTTAAATGCAGAGCACTAATTCCTAGTATGGGTAACCATACTTGGCCACATGTCACTTTCACTTAGAGCCGTTAATGTGTCATGGAATTTGTCAAATGAATGTGTCATGGAATTTGTCAAAGTTTGGATGAATTAGTCCAGGGGTCACCAAACTTGATCCTGGAGGGCCAGTGTCCTGCAGAGTTTAGCTCCAACTTGCCTCAACACACCTGCCTGCAAGTTTCAAGTATACCTAGTAAGACCTTGATTAGCTGGTTCAGGTGTGTTTAATTAGGGTTGGAGCTAAACTCTGCAGGACACCGGCCCTCCAGGACCGAGTCTGGTGACCCCTGAATTAGTCACTGGAAGTCATTAGCCTACACCTAAATCAAATCGTGATATGGACTATCTGTAAATATTAAGCCGCAAAATGACTATTTAAATATGAATCTTGCATGACGCTGGCTGTGTTTTTCAGCATATGCCTTCTCACATAAATACATGAACAACATCCCCAGAACTGCTCTGAGAGTCAGAAATATTCTGCCAGAAATATATTAGGCCTATACTGTTCAGTAGAATGTACGTACAACTACTAGGCTACTAAAATTAAAACTTTATTTAGAAGGAATAATCACACAATATTTCTTCCATGTTTTAATTTTAATTGTAAATCCCCTTTGTTTGCCCAAAAAAAAAAATTTGTTTAATTTTCATTATTTAAAAGATAAATTAAATGAATGTGTTATGCCTTCATTCGATAACCAGAAAAATTACACAACGCAGAATTTCGAAAGAAAAAAACATTTCATAAGGCTATAAATAAAAGTAGTTTTTATGCATTCAAATAATTAGACATGCTAAAACACAGAATTTGGTAACAATATTTTGTTACACTTTTTAATAGATTGATGTTGAATTGTATACGTTTCATTATTTAAATTGATTAGACATGCTTTTGATTAATACAATTTAATTTAACCATTTAAAAAGTCAAAAAAAAAAACATTTTTGAATGACCCAGGGTTACCTAAATAGTGCGAAAAGCCTCAATAAGCCATAATGGCTTTACATTTATATTCAGAGTTCGTTCTACAGTATTTGTGACATTGTTGATTATCACAAAAATAATTAAAAATAAATTCAAATTAGAAATAACTTTTAAAAACTTATTGAACAGTAACATTTGGGTTATAAAAAAACATACTGATAAAAAATGTATAGCCTGAATGCACTGTAAGTCGCTTTGGATAAAAGCATCTGCTAAATGCATAAATTAAATTAAATTAAATTTAAAAACGCACTTACAGTGCAAGTGAATGCTCTGTAAGAATGTGTGCATCAGGAAAGTCAGCTGATAAGACCTGAAGGATCCTCATGAGTTCTCATTACAAATCAGTTTGCTTCAGCACACTATGAAGAGAAAAGGTAAATGGCATTTTTTCCCCACAATAATACCTGCAGATAGTATTTTTTTACAGCCTATTTATTGTGATAGGCCAAACTGTTTCTTCAAACCAAGCAGATAAAGTTGTCAAGAGCAAGAGGAGACCGATAAGAAATGAGCAGCAATATTGAATAATTTTAGTTGGGTCTTAGCAAAAGAGACAGAAATTTCCTCTGTTTACAACAGTTATGACCTTGAAGGGAATCAGCCGCTTATCAGGGTGTATGAGATGATACGGTGGTTCTCTCAAAGTTACAAAGTCTGCTCTGCACAAAGAAATTAAGACCTCCAGGCCAAAAAATAAAAAGCAAGTACAAAGAAAGTATCACTATAAGTGAAAATAGAAATATTAAGAATGTGATTGTGTACATTTTTAATATTTGTTACTTCTTGGAGATAAAGTTGGATGAGGATAAGTTTTCTAGGGTAAGTGTTGCCACCCTTACACATCATGGAAAAATTTGTTGTATAGGTGTTTAAAACAAAAAAAGATTTTTACTGGAAAAAAAAAATAAAAAAAAATTTGAGAACAATGTTAATTAAGGAAAATTAGTATGTAAAATACATATAATGCAATATAGTAATGAGAATTTGGGAGGAAGTTCACTTATATTAGAAAAGTCCAGGTTTTCCAGATGTGTAAGAAACCCAGCTAAGATCAAAACACTAATACACCAATCTTTGTATAATAGAAAGTTTTAATTTCATGTGTATCACAGGCATCATGTCAAGATATTTAAAAATGAAGAATACCTTTGTTTAAACCTTCATTTAAACTCACAGACACACTTGCACAGCCACTCTTTTGCAAACATACAAGCTGCAGTGTATAAGAAAATTAAGATATTAATGTACAGCAAAATTCTCCCCAAATCTATGCGTCTATAAATAAGGTCGGATGTTGTCATGATCGAGCCATTTCACAGGGAAACACGCTGCGGTCCCTTACCTGGCTCTTCTGCTCAGAGCTGACCCTAATGGAAGCTAAAATACATATACCTGATCGCCTTTATTGACAAACCTATGGACAACAGTTTATAACCATTTAAACATTATTCTTATCTATTGTGACTCTTATAACGAGAAAGGAAAAGTAACCTGGCCTCACCCTCCAATACATATCACACATAAAACTGCTCATTCACAAATACATTAACAGTCAGCCTCTCAACAACTGCCACATTTGAAGTCACTTCTACCTGGACAGGGCTGTGATCCTGAAAAGAAAATTAAGACAAGTCAATCTCAATAAAAGGCCTAAATAACCTAATAATTCTTTCCTTTATTTGATCACATCTACTTTACACTAAACACAAAAACCAAACATTACGTCCAAACATTCCAGGACTGGTCGATATTGAATACTCATGATATATTTGTGATTACATAGTTGCAAAAATGCTTACTTTGATCAAGCATGCATGCATATATTAAATATACAAATGAATAACTAATATTTGATATGCACATAAATGTTACTTGCTCTAAAATAGAAGTGCAATTTTTGCATGACATTTTGTGTGTATAAGTACAATGTTATATATATAGTGTATATTTAAAATGCTAATATGTAAAAAAAAATGTAATAAATAAAAAATAAAAATGATATCATATACATAAAAATGCTGCTTTTTTTGTACTTTTTATTTTATTATTTATATTACTTATTTGTGATTTCCATTGATCTCAGTATATTAAAAATGACAATAACAGGAATCACAATTATACACGGGTAAATATAGTAGCCAACATTTGAAGTAAAAAAAAAGTTAATCAAAGTTATCCTAAGACAAGAAAGCATTTTGGTTTTAGGTTTTAGGACCACTTTAGGGCCTTTCGTACCGCGGGAACCTTTTCATAGTACCAGAACTAATTGTGGAACTACCCACTTTTTGGCGTTTTCGGTGCGAAAGGCCCTTTTGATGAAAGGTTTTGATCCACTTCAAATGTTGACTACTGTATATCTCAAATACTGAATAGTTTATAAATATGGATCAGTTCTATTGTCTTATATCCATTTTAAATCTTGAGTTTTTAGAGGACAAACTCACTGTAGCTTCTCCTGCAAGAGCTCGAGTCTCTGCCGGTCCACATATCGAGAGAACAGTGACACTAGGTTTGGAGGAGTAAACAGCGGGGATGAAAGCGCAGAGGACGGGACCTTCAAAAGCTCCCGTGTCACCGCGGGAACCTTTTCATAGTACCAGAACTAATTGTGGAACTACCCACTTTTTGGCGTTTTCGGTGCGAAAGGCCCTTTTGATGAAAGGTTTTGATCCACTTCAAATGTTGACTACTGTATATCTCAAATACTGAATAGTTTATAAATATGGATCAGTTCTATTGTCTTATATCCATTTTAAATCTTGAGTTTTTAGAGGACAAACTCACTGTAGCTTCTCCTGCAAGAGCTCGAGTCTCTGCCGGTCCACATATCGAGAGAACAGTGACACTAGGTTTGGAGGAGTAAACAGCGGGGATGAAAGCGCAGAGGACGGGACCTTCAAAAGCTCCCGTGTCACAGAGAACACCAACTCAGTCCTGGAAACAGAATGAAAAAAATTGGTATGAAGAACCGGACAAATCAGATCATTAGGGATGGGTAAAAAAGAAAAAATGAAAAAAAAAAAAGATCTCGATTTTAACCGATTCTCATTTTTACGGAACGATGTCCATTCTTAAATCCCAAGAATCAATTAGTCTAGCCTGTTTTCAGTTAATGGACGGAACATTGAAGGGAACTTCCCATCCAATAAATCACAATAAGCATTGTGCTTTGGTACTTTTAATATGAAAAAGTCTCAGATTTCAAATTCTGTCCATTGTATTTCAGTATTCAAATGATAAATGCTGTTTTGGCGCTGTTTAATGTGAAGTGACAGATCGCTGTAGCGCCTCAGTTCAACAGACGTGATCTGATCGTCTCCTCCACATTAATACCAGTTTCGGCACAAAATAATCATGACTAAACATCCGAAGGCAAGTTAAAAGAAAGAGTACAACTTTACAATCTGTATCCTGTCTCATGTAATCGCTCAATCAGTGTTTCAGCCACGCAAAGACGTCAATATAACGGCTTGTAGACAATGTCACGTAACATCGCATTTACCTCAGAAAAACATATTTGGTGACCATAAACTCATTACTCATACTTATGATGATTATGCTCATACTTATCAGTTGGAACCTGAAGAACATGTAGACTCAGAAAGAGAAATGTAAATGTCTAACTAGAGTTCCCCTTAGCTTGCCATATAATAGAATATATCTTGACTAAAAGGCAATATTAAGTAGCTTCTTAAACTTTCTGTATAAAGGCACAGGGATGTTTCGATAGGTAAGGCATCCTTGTCCTAAAAGGTAACACTTTCTATGAAGCCCATATTTATAATACATTATAAGGGTGTTCTTAAGGCATTATAATGAATGCATAATGCATTATAAAAAAAACTTATAATATGTTATATCTTATGAATATTCATAAGAACAGTTTTAATGTATTATAATATTTACTTATTTGTGGTTATAGCTTTTAAGAGTACGATGATTTATAACACACAGTGAACATGTTGCATCCACTTAAGTTACAATGAATTATGTTTTTCATAGTTATAATGTATTATAAGTCTCATATCTTGCCATCTTTCTTATGCTACTTTACTTAAAGCAATCAAAGACCACTTATAAGTATAGTAATAATAATAATAACAGGGATTAAAGTTCCGTCGCTATGACGGATTTCCGTCAGTTAATAAAGACAGTCACTTGCTTCATTCCTGAATGATTCAGCCGTTTGAACGAATCAATTGAATGAATGATTCAGTGATAAAATCAGTGACTTGCCGCCACCTGCTGGCGGATTTAGTTAAATGTTTAGGTATAATTTCAGTAATTTAAATCATATTTCTGTATTCAAAATTGTATATTTAAAACATTAATCTCCACATGAATTTATGAATTTAATTGGACTCATGCTACCTCTGAGCCTCATTAAACGTCTGAAAATGTACCTGCAAGCCACTTTTGTGTGCCACCTCTGTAGTACAAATTACTTTATTAATACTAATTTCATATGATTGGTAACTTATTTACCTTATTCTACTTTTTATATTGCAGGGGTTAAAGCAAAAAAAAATTTAAAAATCTTTTGACTGAATTTTTCTTCGACCAAACCCCATTCCTCAGCCATACCTGTCACACACCCAGTTTAAGAGCAGTTTTTTTCTTCTTGTAATTAGGAGTGCTTGTCAAATTCTGATCAAAAAATAACCTTCCTAATATGGTGACATTTGACTCCTTAAAGTGACTTACAGGAGTATTTTCTTATTTTCCTTTGTAATGGCATAATTTTCATGTCAAATTCATGTTTCAAAAATCTTTTTAAAATTTCTATTTAAAACAATATGTAATAATACAAATAAGTTACCAATCACATGAAATTAGTATGAATAAGTTAATTTGTACTACAGAGGTGGCACAGAAGAACACAAAAGTGGCTTGTAGGTACAAAACATTTTCAGACATTTAATGAGGCTCAGAGGTGGCATGAGTGCAATTAAATTCATACATTCATGTGGAGATTAATGTTTGTCTTTATGAACTGACGGAAATTCGTCTTAGTGACGGAACTTTAATCCCTGTAATAATGATGATACTTTTTTTCTCAAACAGCCTTGTAATATGACACATTTGCTTTGAACTATTTTTACTGTAATATCAGTTTGATTATTTTGACGGTACCCTTTAGACAGCTGTTTATAAGCAACTCTGCAACTACATATCAACTAGCAGTCATTGGAATATTAGTAGTATGTCTGCTAAATATATGCAAACACTTTATTTTGATGGTTACCCAACAGACAAACTGACTATAAGTAACTTTGCAAATACGTCAACATTCTACCAACCCTAAGCTTAACCTAAGCCTACTAATACTCTATTGAGAGTTAGTTGACATGTAACCTAACATATAAACATTGCATTTTTTCCCCAGTTGAAATTATTAACTAGCTCACATCAAAATTAATATTAACCTTGCAAGGAACACTCAAATAACACTCACTATAAATATGGGCTTCATAGAAAGTGTTACCGTAACTTTTATTATAAAAACGTCATTAAGTGTAATTTAAGCAGTTGTATAGCCTAAAAAAATCGGTCAGTTTTAACCTTCAATATTATAGTAATGATTTGAATGTAGTATCAACTGACTCATGTATATTTTACAGCATTAGTTCAGATAATTTTTTTCCTTGAGAAAATATGGCATGTGTACCTAAAATATATCCAAAATAATCGATATTGAATTGAATTAAATCCAATCGCAAGCTTGTGAATGAGAATCGAATCGTGAAATTTGTGTCAAAACCCAGCCCTACGAATCATGATGAAATACTGCAACACTAGCCACTTTCACACATGAACACCTGTGTAATACCAAGCATGCCTGTAGGGAAAATAGATAATAATACACAGACAGATGCTCACCAGCGGTTATCGTCCATGAGCTGACAGTTGGGATCGGAGCTCTGCATCCTCTCTCCTTCACTTAGAATCAGATAGAGCAACGTCACGCCAAACTGACAAACACAACACATACATTACTGAAATATCTTTGGTTTAGTTAGACAAAAAGCCAGAGGAGACTGTGCACGTTTGCCATTTAAAAAATTTTTTTTTTTAAATTTGACAGTGATACCTTATTTTGCAGCACAAGGGGAAGCTGTCCTTCACTGCCCTGCAGCTCCTGAAGGAGATTAGTGAGGGAGGTACTCGACATGGACTGGATTACTGCCGTCACTGGCTCTACCAACCAACACAGTACCTATGAGAGAGAACATGCAAATGAAAAAAACTTCCTTTTTCCTAGTGCTAATCATAACCTATAGAACTTGCCACATCTCATTCTCTTCACAGAAAGCATACAAAGACCCACTCGTCTGTGACTGTACCTGGTCTTGTTTGTCTTTCTTGGCCAGAGCTGGAAGGTTCCTGGCTATTCCCATGACAACAGTAGCAGCCTGGGGCTGTGGCAGGAAGGGGAGGAGTCTGGAGATGAGGCGTTTCCCCTTACGCACAGACATGATCATCAAGCACTGCTCATCGCTCACTCTGCAGAAGGGTGGGAAGTAGGTCTGTTACGGTCACAAACCTTCTAGTAGTTGATACCAATATTAGTGATTTCACACAGTTCTTGACTACAGCACAAAACTATGCTGTTATAACATGCTTGTTTATTTAAAAAAATAAACAAGATAGGTTTAATCAGATAGGTCCTTTAAGGTATCTTGGAGGGGTGAGGTGTCCAAGACGCAACATCTAGCTACTGGGGTGCCTCAGGACTCAGTATAGTGCTGGGCGGTATGACCAAAAATTTATATCACGGTATTTTTCATTGACATTGGTAACGTTTAAGTGACATATACCGGTATTGCGGTATTTTAAAAATTCATATCATAACAAAAGTAAACACCGGTATTCGGTATGAACCGGTATACCGCCCAGCACTAGCTCAGTACTTGGGTCACTTCTCTTTAGGGCTGCAACAACTAATCGATTAAAATCGATTATTATTGATAATGAAAATAATCACAACGATTCTCATTTTCGATTAGTCGGGTCTGCCCACAGTGCACGTCCAACTTCAGCCGGTGGCATCAAATTACAGCACATAAAGAAATGACAGTAAGACGTGACTGTGATCAAAGTAAACGTGTGTTCCTGCAGAACATTACTCTTACCTGCTGGTTAACACGGAGTTTGTGTTTTTATTCATTTTTAATATCTTTATTATTATTTTAATTTTAAATTTAGAGATTTAAGCTATATTCACTATACAGTGCTTAAATTTATTCAAGCAAATGTTTGTAAGGTTTCTAAGAAATTATGTAAGGTTTGTGCCACTGCTGCTCTAAACTAATAGTATTAGTGATTAACAAAATCATTTTTAGCTTCCTGTATTGGTTAGTCCTCCAATACGAGTAAGCTCTTTAGTAACAGTAGTGTTTCTAATGCTATAATATAATTATTGATGTTATCTATGAAAGAAAGGCAGAAAAAAATAGTCAAGTGCTTTATAGTGTTTTTTTTTTTAAGATACCCAATTAGTCAAAAAGTACATAATGCCAGCAAGAATGCAAGCTGTTATGAAAGGCATAGGAGGCCATTTTTGTTATT